CAGAAATAAGGACCTGGTGTATCTGTAAGTAGAGAAGTTCAATCTTAGACAAGTTCATGTTGAAAGCAAAATCTTCTTTGTTCCTTCTGAGATAGAACAGCAAGAAATTGTGCAGAACTGAATGCAAAAAAAAAGCATTTTTTTGTTTGTTTTGTTTATCCACCCAAATAACTATAATAGTAGAAAAGCACTCAGAGAGCAGACCTCCACTAAGCAGCAAATTTGGACTCATATTGTGACCTGCACCTATAGCTAGTGTGAGTAAACGTCCTCTTTTGCCTTGACACTTTTTGCATTCTGACTGGGGCGTCCGGAGAGGAATGATAACAATGTCCGGTTTTCACTGTTTTTAATGGGACCATAATAATATGCTTAAATCGACTGCCGCTTTGATCAGAATACTACTATGTATTTCTTAAGGGATTGTGTTGTGGGAGGGTCTAGCGAGACACACACACACACACACACAGGGAGCAGAGCAATCAGCATTGGACACAAAATGCCGAAACGAAAGTGCAGCTTCACAGATGAACTGCAAAAAAAAACTGCCGGAGATTTCGAAGCTCACATGAACACTAAAATTTTTTTTAAAGCTGTTCGAGGTGAGAGCTCCTCTGTAAAGTTGACCGAGTTTGTTAGACCTGGGAAAATGGAGGAGGCTCTAAAGAGGTAATATGTTGAAGCTGCATTTTCTAATTTAGAAGATTTTGTATTTAGAACATTATTTGATATTATTTATGTAATTTAAAAGAGCTATCATTTTGTCATTGGTAGTTACAGATTTCAGTTTACTATAGAAGTTATTTTTGCACCAATTTGATATAATAAAGCATGTTTATTAACCTCTGAGAAGCCTGTCTGAATCAGTCTGGAGGCTGGGCAAAGTGACCTCCTTTTTAGAAGTCAAAATATAGTCACCTTACCTATAGCTAAAACTCAAACATCTGGATCATGACTTTTTGAGTCTGACGCCAAAGCTGTCAATAGTCACTGCTGCCACCCTCTGGTTTAAGGGCAGAACTTCTTTTTTCCTCCATAAATCCCTATCTCACAATGTGAACAAATCTTTTAAAAGCATCCTGTTTCCAGATTATGATGTGGATCATCACCAAAATGTAATGGATTGTTTGTTGGACTGAGGCGCACCTCTGGTAAAAATGTCGTTATAATCAGTCCATAACTTTTCAAGTTATCCTGTAGACAGACAGGCAGACAGACAGACAGGCTCTCCTGAAAATATAACCTCCTTGGCGGAGGTAATGAAATCGATCACCGTCTGCTCCTTTTAATTTCAGATTTTCAACATCTCTCAGAGCTCTTTTGATTTCATCATTTGATAATCTCAGAATATGATATGATTCCAAACCTACCGGGATGTTTCCCTCTGCCTGAACTTCAGCAGGGACAGGGAAGGAGGTTAGAGCTGATGGGAGATGGATGGAGCTTAATAAAGGACAAACCCTATGGAAACTGATGTCCTCCATCCACCATTAAATACACTGTAAATGGATCTTTTCGATTTATTTTAAACGCATTACGTCACCAATATATGCTAAATTTGTAAAAAAAAACAAAAAAAAAACAATTGAGAATCATGAAGTTAGAATTTAATTTCAGTTTCAAGGTTTCTTCTTAGGATTTTCTGGGTGTGGCTGAAAGGGCAGCTCTGTCATCATGCAGCTGAATTACGTGTGGAATCCATACAGAGAATGTTTTTGTTTTTCCCATTTTCCCGTGAATTATGGCAAACCGCTGCCACGGTTCAGAGGAAAGCTATTTACTGTCAGTTTGTTTGCTGCATTCCAGCTTTTCAGAGCAGAGAAATCTGGTGTTTTTTCGTTTTTTCTTTTTTTTTTCTTTCCATGACCTTTATGACAATATTTTACACGCCTTACTGCATTTTCAAGAATATCCATTTTGCTGAGTGATCAATGACAGATGTTTTTGTGATTTGACAAAGTCAGAACAAATATAAACTGCTACTTTGGATGAACTTTAAGCTGGAACCAAACATTGCACAAAAACTAAGGAAATGTTTGTTTACCAGATTTTTCTTCTTTGTTATAAGTCTTATCACGGTGACATCTACATGACTATTTTCTCATTAAATGGTCTCATATATTTGCATGAAAAATGCTCTGAGCAGCAGAGAAAATCCTTTTTGCATGTGTCAGACAGCTTTAAGTGGGGTTTGATAGTCAATGGAAAAACCAGCCCATCATAACTGGAAGCAGCTGAGTGCTGCAAACAGTGGCCATCTGATTGCTCTGCTTTGAGGGACTGTATTCTATCCTTCAGAGATGTCACCACCTCTGATTATCTTGTTCACGGCACAGTGACCAGACTACAAATGTGGCCTACAATCCAAATTAATTGCTCCTCAAAAACCAGTGTTGCATAAAAAACATCTTTACAGAATGAGATTCCTCAGTTTTTCTGCTACATTTTTTTTTGCAAGGAAGATCCGGCAAAACCTTTAGTGACTTGATGTGAAAATCAACTGCAATAAAACTGTAAATCTGTAAGGTATTGACTGAGAATTATATAGCATGAATCATTTGCAGATTATTATTACGGTAATAATAACACTAAAAACCATTAATTCATCCACAGCTTTGCTATTTAATGTTGTTCTAATACATTTTATTCTTCAAAGAATGATTTGATAATATAAAATTAATGATTAATTTATATTTTCTGAGAGGCAAAACATGGGAATTTAATTGTACTTTTTTTCCCAGCACTAAACAGCAAATATTAGAGGACAGACAAGCAGATGTGGAGTACGAGCTCAGATGTCTTCTCAATAAACCTGGTAGAGTTGTCTCTTTTGACGGTAAATACCATCAGTTTGTTGGTCTTTGTTGAATCTTCATGGATTATTATATTTTTTTTTTAAATCAGAAAAAGACTGGAGTCAGGAGGATAAAAGCCGAGAGGAGCGGCTGATGGCTGAGCTGGTCACCATTATTGAACAGAGGAACCAGATCATCAGCACCTTGGATCAGGATAGGTATACACCAGAAAACAAGGATTCCTCTATTTATTATTATCTTTTTTTTAACATCCCGCAATTTAAAAAAGTTAACATGCTGTTGTTTTTTTTGTCATCAGAGAAAGAGATGAAGACTTTGAAAGCATAGGGAACAAGGGTGAATAATCAATGAAATTGCTTTTTACACAGTGAAATGCAAACTCTGTTGATTTGGAAGCTCCTAATGAACTGATGTTTCTCCTCAGGGTTTCAGCAAGACGGACTGAAAGAGCTGAGAAAATCTAAAGGGAAGCTCAAGGCTTCAAAAGTCTTTAAGATACTGAACTAGAAGACAGAGAGCTGCAAGGAGCCAGTGGAGAGAAAGAGCTGAAGAAGCAGCCTGACCACAATAATAACCCATGTTCAAAGTCACTCATCTCAAACTGTGTTTCTTAAAAAAAAAACATCAGTATGTTAAAAATATGCTGAACCTATTTCAACTTCTATTTTTAAAAGACCAAATTTGTCCTGTTATTAAACCATTTTATTAGTGTTATTTCTTAACTGTTTTGCGCATTGTTTTTTTTTTTTAAAGTGCTCATTGTCTGTATTAAATCAAGGTGAATCCAAATGATTCAAACAAATCTGTCCTGCTTTTTGAACTTGTTCATAGAACTGATCCTTAGCCTTTCTTTAATCCTCAAACACATATATTACAATTAATTTCTATTAAGCAACATAATTACTCCTTATCTGCTTCTCATATTTAATATCAGGCCTTTCTGTTCTCAGTTAAATATTATGATTTAATGTTTTCATATCTTTATGCCTTTATAGATCTACATTGATAAACATGCATCATTTTACACTGATTTAATGTATGTAGTCAGGTTTGGAGAAAGTCTATTGCTGAAACCCCTAATGGGAAAACATCCAATTTATCAAAAGAAAAGAAGAAAAAAAAGGCATCTTTAACAAAATTATGCTGTTAAAACATATTTATCTCTATGTTAGGTGTTACTTTGGTTATGTCAGCATTTAGAGCCAACAAGGTTATAATTAGGATCATCTGCTCTCATTTTAAAATAAGATACCTTTAACTTAACCAGACTGATGGCTGAATCTGAAGCTGGTAACAAATATCTGCAGAGAATGAAGGAAGCCAAAATAAAAGCTAATGATTGAGTCTGCTCTAGTTCCGATGTTGTAGCCCATGTTATGGATATGTTAACCAACCTGCAGTTCTAGTGAATCTCCCTAGAACACATTAATGGGCTTTGTCTAACAATCCTCACATGGTTATGGTTGTCTCTGATGCCTGTGCATCTATTCCTATCACACTTTTGCTTTTAATTGACCCTTTAACTGCCTGGTCAACCTCCAGCCTTCATTTGGTTGATTTAAATATACGCCTCCCTTTTTGGCCTAACCCTCCTATGAAGGGAAGCTACTGTGGGTGAATGTAAGGTTTGAGGTCTTGTCATGGCTTTAAGCTCAAATGTTTGTGTTAATATTTTTTTTTCTGTTATATTTTATAATTTAAATTGAAAATGAAAGTTGTGTTTTTCTTTAGTTTGAAGTCTATCAAAATTATCTTATAAAGGTCAAAATCAAATAAGGGGTCTCTATAAATGTAATGTTTTGAATTAAATTACTTAAATTTACCTTTTTTGTTTTCTGTTTGATTCACACTGTTGAGCGAAGGTCACACAGGAAGGTAAGCCAGGATATAGAAAGTACTGAACTTAAAAAATGTAGGGAAATATTTATTTGAAATATCTTCACATAAAGGAAGAAACAGAAAACTAAAATGGTGTTTGTTTATTTGGAAATCATCATCATTATTCCATGTAGGTTATCCATCCCTTAGTATAAAAATCACATCAAAAGGAAATGTATCTAGAAGAAATTATGTTGATTAACCTCAAAGTGTAAACAAAGACTGTGAAACTTTCTAACTCCAGTAGAGGGCAGTAGAGGCCACTGAGTAAAAGAAGCAGAACTCGAAAGTTCCTCCGCTTTGCGCACACGGAATATTTATCGGTGGGACCAGCCAACCGGAAGTTACATGTAACGCTCATGTGGGCCAATGTTGACAACAAATATTATACCTGAACTACATAAACACTAATATCGGCTACTAAAAAAATCAAATTCCGAATAGAAAAATGTCCGACAACGAAGATAAGTAAGTACTGACGCAGCAAAACCCGGAAACATTCATCTTCATGGTTAAAGAAATGTGTAAATGATATAATTCTGATGCTAACCGACGATTAGCACGTTAACTAACATGCGTTTTTAAATATATAGCTTCGATGATGGAGATTTTGATTACGCTGAAGAGGATGAGGGGTTAGATGACCTCGAGAACGTTGAAGACGTAAGTATCGATATAAACTAAGCATTATTATGAACGCTGAAGCTAATGTTGCTAACCTCGGACTCATTGTAGCACAGCCATGTAGTCTGATTCTGCTTTCTCTCCGCTAAACAGGAGGATCAGGAGAATGTGCAGATCCTCCCTGCAGGAGAGGGACAGCAGGCAAACCAGAAGAGGATCACCACACCGTACATGACCAAGTATGAGAGGGCCAGAGTGCTGGGAACCAGAGCTCTGCAGATAGCGTGAGTGTTGAACAAGCATCCAGTCTGTCAGGGCTTCACATCCCCCAGTTCACACTACTTTTTTTTTTTTTTTTTATACAGGTTTCTTTCTTCTTTTCTATTCCATGTTGACCTAGATACACCTTTAAAATCAATAAATTATATATATTTTTTGAATAATGACAACCTGAGTAAATACAAAACAAATTTTAAATCTGTATTTTCATTATTAGGGCTGGTTATTTTATATTTTAAGTCCTGAATCGATTCTATTTTGATTCATAGCGTTCTAAATTGATTAATTTCGATTCGATCTGTTTTTACAATAATGAAAGTGGTTCAACTGTGTTTCAAAATACTCATGTATTTTATTTATTTTTCCTGTCATATCAAACACAAAGTGCAAACTTGTAAAATCAGACAATTTAAACTTGAGATCTGAAAAAAATTGTCTCAAAAGTGCAAACTTGTTTGTGAAAAGTGGAAAAGCCTCAATCGAACAAGCAGCCGTGACACAGTGGGGACACAACAGACATGCATGAGTTGCATTATCTCCACTGCTCAAACCATATTTGCACCGTTGTCTGTTACAACTACAGGGTGTTTTCTGGTCAGCCCCATTTGTTAATGTCTTCAGTCAACCTATTGGGTATATTTGCAGCTGTCTGGCTTGAAGTAATCTTGAGTGCATCTTTCCTGCTCATTGGAATGCGTCACGTGCATTACTACAAAACTAATCGATCTCATTTCCTAGACATCGATTATATTGATTTTTTTACCCAGCACTATACATTATTAAATGTATAGTGGAGGATTTTTGCGAATTTTTGAAAAGACGCGCCCTTCTCACCTAAGAAAAAAGATGTACATGCACCTCCCTGTACCCGCTCCTGAGAGGGAATACCTATTAATCGTGTGTGAGAGCGTGCACGAGCCAATTTCTTCTCGTGCACGCTCTGTTTAAAAGTTGCTGTGTGCGTCGCTCATACAAGCTTATTTTCCATAAGAAGATTTGCCATTTTTCCAGTATGTCAGACTCACCACCGGTAAGTGAAAATGCGGACGAACACGCAGGACGGACTTATGTAAACATTAGGCGTGGTCACGGTTTTCGGTTCGGTATATGTTTATTGTTACACCGAAAAATAAAAAAAATTGTAAAAAATTATAAAAATTAATGAAAATATTTTTTTGTAATGAAAAAAAATCCAAAAAAAATTATGAATTGTAATTATTTTTAATGATTCGCAGAAACCATGGATCATTTCCGCGTGTTTTGCTGCTTTGAATTTAATCATCTCGCGCACGCTCTCTACCATCTCCAAGGAACTCAGAGCGGAGCGGACGGGAGCCACAGCGGACGCTACAGACTTTGCTTTGTGCAGGCGGTCTGGAGCGCAGCGGGGCAGAGCGCTGACGGCGTATGTGGGATTTCGGGGTTAGCATGACATGTTGGTCATGTTGCTGTTAGCATAAACAAAACGTGTTGCACAATGCTTGCACACTGTTGCACTTTTATCCACAACTTTCTTTCCGCCGTCATCGTAGGTCACTCTAAATGCAAACTGGTCCCATACAGCAGACCTATAAAGTGCTGCTGGCGCGTCTTCCAACTCCTGTTCTTTCCCACTCGCCAGTCCGACACAATTCTCCACAACTGATTTTTTTCCCTGCTACACCCGGCTACGCTGCTTCGCTTCTTCTTCTTCTTGTTTACTACTGGCGGTTGGCTTTGGTCGCAGTACCGCCACCTTCTGCTCTGGAGTGTAAACGCTTCGCCTATGAGAAAAAGGAGCAGCGCATGAACCGAACGCAACACACGCGAATCGAACCGAGACAGTTGAACCGAACGGTTCGGACGGTTTTCAAAAACCCTTCCATCCCTAGTAAACATATCACCAGAAATATTTACACTTGGGAGGACCACTTATTTTTATGATCCACTCGGAAAAAGAACATCCTTCCCTACACCTTTAAATAAACTGATCTCCTTAAAAGTGGGAAAGTCATGGTTGCTTTTCTGCTGCACAAACCAACAACACTTGTCTCTAAAGTTTTGTACTTATGGGCATATTTTCTGCCAGACAACAGAATTCATTAATACTGGCAAGTGGTCTATATTTGAGACCAGCAAAGTAGCTCCTGACCATCCTAGTACCATCTCTGTGTTTTTCCTTCAGATGGACACACTTCTTCATACTAAATGTAGCACTTTTATGCAGAACGCATAGTTTCACATCCTTAGAAAAAGTGGCCCAGGATTTTGGGAATCACTAGGTTTTTTTGTTTTGTTGACACATTTGAACTGTTCTTATACGTTTTTTTTGGGTCGGCCCTGGTTTGTAACTTGAAACACCCACATAGAAGTAATTTTTGTTAAACTGTCCAATCCTGTGCTCCAGTAAGACCAGTGGTTCCTGGAAGGCTTTAGATGTTCTTTTGTGACCCCTGAATGAGTTGCATATTGACCCTCACTATAATTGCTATAATTTTGTTAGTTGACGCCTCCTGGGAAAGTCATGAATGTTCCATGTGTTCTCTGTTTGTTAACAACTATCACTGTCACTGTTAAAGCCATTTAAATGTTTTTTTTAACCATTCCCACATTAATAGATTCCACTTTTATCAGTTCTCAAAAAAAATATAACGTTTTAGTTTTCTTTTACATTTTCCAACGAGCTGTATTGTTGTCATTTCTTTATTCTACAGCCCTGGCAGATAATTAAGTTTCTGATATCTAAGGTTACTTTTGCGGAAAGGATTTATTGTTATTTGCTGAGCCTGATCTGTCTGAAGACAACCTTTTCCAGGGTTCCCGCGGGTCCTTAAAAAGTCTTAAAAGGCATTGAATTCTTCAAAATAAAACTAAGGCCTTAATTGGTATTAAAATGTCTTAAATTAGTCTTTCGTAGGTCTTAATTTTGAAAACTTCATAAATAGGATTATTTTAATTACGATTTATTTTTGTAATCTAAATAAAATGTTAAAATTGACAATATTTATTTTTTTATTTTTTTAACAGGAAGGCTGTGAGTCTGTGAATTTACGAGTAATTTCTCTAGAAAACCAGTGGGATTCTCCTGGATTTTACCTTCGGTTTTCAGAGCATAAAAAGTACCAAACATAGCAGGGAAACACAAATACTTGTTTTGGTCTCCCGAGTCTGCATGTGCAATTTGGAGGCGACTGTGTTTTTCTCCCAGTTAGAAGCCTTATTTCCAAGTACATGGTAGTAGGGCAACACCTAACGATTATTTTGCAAATCGATTAATCTGTTGATTATTATTTTTTTGATTAATAAATTTTTAATTGGACAGCAAAAGGTTCCTTTTTTAGGAAATATTTAGGAAATTAAACCAGGTGAAACTAAATCTTTTTCACTTGAGGAGTTCTGGATTGACCATATTGACAGGCAAAATTTTTTTTTTTTTTTTATCTTAAATGCCAAATGTTTATATATATTTATTTTTTTTTACAATTTTGATATGATTCCTGCTCTAAGTGCTCTGTCAGCTAGACGCATGTTTACAGTCTCTATACTCCAGTTAACGATTAATCAATTACTAAACTAGTTGACAATTATTTCAATAATAGATTAATCCGATTAATCGTTTCGGCCACACAGGGCGCCCTACCATGGGGATGTTAGTTTCAGCATAGATACTGTAGATTGATGTTGCTCCTGCTCAGTGAGATCCTTTAGATAGCAGCCACTGTCAAGGCATTATGTAACAGGTAGGAGGCGGCACCCATGCAGAGCAAACTAATCAGTACTAATTCAGCTCTTTAATGACCAATTAGACCAGATTGATCAGTTCTTTCCCACTTCCCTCCACGCTGCATCTGCTCTCTACTTACAGCCAACACCTTATCAAACCACAAAACCTCTAACAGCTTTTCATATGCTTAAAACGTATTCAGAAGTGCCCCAAATTGTTATTCAACTTTTGCATTTGCAACACTTGCAGAATATTGGAATTTTAATGCAGTGAATTTATCCTATAAATATTTATTCTGATGTATTTTACACACAGCATGTGTGCTCCAGTGATGGTAGAGCTGGAAGGAGAAACAGACCCCTTGCAGATCGCTATGAAAGAACTTAAGTAAGTCACAGTAAAAGTGCTGAATCCTCTCTTATCGGCACACATTTCAGAACAAAATTCTTGTTTAATCTCAGTTTGTGGTTTTATTCCAACAGAAGCAGAAAGATCCCCATCATCATCCGCAGGTATCTTCCTGATGGCAGCTATGAAGACTGGGGCTGTGATGAGCTCATTGTAACCGATTAGACCTCTTATCCGGCGTCAGCGTCCATCTGCTCTCTCCGTATTTCACTATTCTCTGTGTTGCAGTTTAACACATATTCTCACAGATTGAAGCGGGTCAAGATCAGAAGTATTAATTTATTCTGTTTTAACAGCTGTAGTGCAAGGAAGCGCCACAAGAGGGACACATGTCACTTAAACATATTTTTTCCTTTTTTAATTCATAAAATACTCTCTTGTTGAAATATTCCATTTGTTGTTTTTTTGAAAGAAATTATTTGTGTAAAGAAACCGTTTTATTGTTCTGAATAAACTCTTTTCTATAAGCTTCCACTTCCTTATTTACCTATAGCGTAATGTGTCACCCTGGTGTTTTGCAGATTTGAATTTACACATGAAACGTCAGTAATTTGTCTATGATTTGACTATACAAATGTCCAATTACACAGTGACACGTCTTTGAATTTTTACCAAGGTGCCAAGAAAAACAGTTCATACAATTGTCAACCACAAACTTCAATGCAATTTTATTTTCTGTGATGGACCAACACTAAACATGATTAGTTCCTGGTAAGTGAATAAAAGAGTGAATAAGATCTGGGAACATCATTTTTTTCAAGTTTTTTTTATGTATGTGTTCTTTGTAGTCTAATAATAACTGTTACCTTAACCCTAAACCACTTTCAAATTAGTTTTCTGTTATATATATATATATATATAAGTTTAATGAGAAGAACCTGAGTTCATCACCAAAATGTTTTCCTAATATTTTCAAACTACAATTTTTGTGACCAAACTGCATGTTAACTGTTTAATTTCATAGTGGTTTATTTCAAACAAAAGAAAAGAGAAAAAGACAAATGGTCATACACTTTGTTACACAATTTGAACAAGTGAAAAACATAAGATCTTGATCATTAAGATCCATATCATTTTTAATTCTTAATAATTTCGTGCTCCACAAAAAAAGAAACCACATATTAAACCTTTTGTTATTTCATATTAATATAATCCATGATATTGTTTGCCTTCGATACGCCCATCCTACATGACATGTTTTTCAATAATTTCATTTTTGTATAGTCTTCTAAACTGCTTTCTATTTACAGTTTGAGTCCATTCCATAGATTTACCCCCCACGATAGATGAAAACTTACTGGGTGAACTGATTAATCCCGACGTATCTCACCATGTTTACTGATGTCAGCCCCACCTGGATTAATCAATTCATCAAGCAGAAAAATACTTAAATTTAGGAAGTAGTGGATTATGCATTGTTGTATAATCAATTATGCGATTGTTACTGTGACCATTTCTCCCACCTGAGGTGTGGAAATCTGTAGCTCTTCCAGAGTTAACATTGCTGCCTTGGCTGATTTCCTGGTTGTTTCTTTAACTTAAAGCTGATGTGACATAGAATAGATATAAGGGCACAGACATGGTATGTTAGAGAAGGTGTTGAACTGTGGATGCAAACCAATCACATATTTTGGAATTGTCCTAAAATTTGTCCATCCATTTTCTGTCACGCTTATCCCCAAGCAAGGGCTGCTCCCAGCTGTCAATGGGCGAGAGGCGGGGAACATCCTGGACAGGTCGCCAGTGCATCACAGGGCAACACAGAGACAAACAACCATTCACACGTCTAAGGACAATTTAGAAGCCAATTAAGCTAAGAGTCATATTTTTGGCCTTTGGGAGGAAGCTGGGGTACCCGGAGAGAACCCACACACGCTTGAGGGAAAAAAAAAAACTCCATGCAGAGACAGCCGGGTCAGGAAACAAAAAACTAAACCTGATGTAAAACTGAGTAACAACGTAAAACAGATTTCAGGTTGATTCACCAAAGTTAGAGCCCTGATTGTAGTTAGTTTATTTTCATGTTTTTATTAAAGCTATAAAAGCACCGGATGCTTTTTGTACAGAAGTTCAGAAGTTGCCTTCAAGCGCAGTAGCCAGTTCACTCCAGCTGATAAACAACTTTAAAAACTGTCCCGACGAGGCTCCCTTCTCTTCCCACGCACATGCAAAGCAGCTAAACAGTCTCTTTATTGTTATTGTGGGAATGAGCTGCTGTTCGGGCAGAAAGTTGCAAGCTGGAGGAAAAAGGAGTTTTAAAGGTTTGTAATATTACTAGCCATGCCTCAGAAAAGGCTCTGTGACTGGTGAAAAGATGTAGATATTATCTGCTAAGCATGGGATCTATAGAGCAATGAAAAGTCATTGTCCCACCGTGGATCTCATTTCTTTTTGCTTGATATCGGAAAGCAGTTTTTTAGGATGTTTGGATTGATTAGTGGATTTTTAGCCAGTTCCTTCTGAGTCTGGTATATAGGACAGACTGACCTTACACACTTTTTAGATCTGCTCACAAACATTCAGGTCTTTGTGACGACAGTTACAAAACATTAAACTTATTAACCTTTAATCTTCAATCTATAAACATTTTGATGCAAAAGTTATTCAAATCCATTGCAAAGCCCTTGCTGTATTTAAATATGTCTTCCCCATAATATTATTTACTGATATCATCTATTTTAAGAACAGCACCCATCCTCCCTACAATTAAAAAACCAGACAAGCTGCTACCACCTCTGTACTTTACAGCTGGGGTGATGATGTCAGCATTTTACACTGGTTCTGAAGTCATGGCTTCTTCCTCTCTGACCTTTTAGCCCATGTTGGTACAGGATTTGTTTAATTGTGGATAATACCAACTGTTCTGGAGTCTATATTTGTTTTAGGTACCAAAACCTATTTGTCTTTGGCAAACAGAAGTCTTCACCTTCCTGAATGATTTGATGGTTGGACATCTTCATCCTGTTTTTAACTTTAATTTTTTACCAGATGAAAGCAACGCCTTCAGGCAAATGGAAATTACACTCAAAGATAAAGATTTTTTGAAGTCTACATTCCCTTTAGGATACCCTTGGCTGATTTTCTTTAGATTTTTCCATGGTGACACACAAGGAAGCAGTCTGTTTGAGATTTTTCCTTAAAATGCATCCATTGGTGTCCATGCAGTTTATTCAGCTGTTTAAAATTACCAGATTCTTACACAACCATTGAAAATCTTTGTTTTTAAGACACTCAAACACTGAAGGTGGCATGCCACATTGTAGCTACAGCTGCCCTGGGGCTCACTGATAGAAGCAAGGCTGCCGTACCCAGGCGCCACTGGGCCCTTTGACCACCATCAATAGGCAATGCAGCTGAAGGGTCTTGGAGCCGGAGCTTGAACCAACAACGCTCTGGTTGCAGGGCAACCTCCCGCATCCGACACCACTGTGGCCCCGAAGTCAGCAAAATATCCTAAAAACATGATGGACCTACTTATATTGTCATTATCTCTCCTAAGAAATAATGGCAACTTTCAGTTATAGACTGAGTAAAACAAATATTCCACTAAAATAAGCAAATACATGGATAATATAGAAGAAAATAAAAACAGGCACTTAAATTAAAAAGAGACATTACTTTTAGAAGAGCCTAAAGCAACAATTGTTCTGCTGTGTAGCAAAACGTCTCACAAAGAAAGTTAGAAGCTTTTGTGGTTTTTAAGCAGAATTTTGACAGAATTACATTAAAAGGACCAGAAATATGTTTTCAGTCCATGTCATGGTTTTGGTTATGTTGTGCCTTACTTTGCTCCTTGTTTTCTAGTTTTATTGGTTTAATTCCTATGTTGTTGTAATTTCTAGATTTATGTTAGTTCTCATGTTTTTCTGTTGTCCTCTGTTGCCCTCTTGTGTGTGTGTGTGTGTGTGTGTGTGTGTGTGTGTTCCTTTCCCCTTGGCTCCCTCGTTGTCTCCTCACACCTGCTCCTTGTCAGCTCATTAGCCCTCCCTTTGCCTCTGTCAGCTATTTATGCTCTCCCTCTGCTCTCACTCTTTGTTGGTTCATTATTCATTAAAACTACAAGTATTCACCTCAGCTTCTCTGCCTCTGCAATTGGGTCCTCCAAACCTCAACCAAAACGTGACAGTCCATTTTTCCTTTTAATTAGCTTAGAAATTATATCATTTAGATTTTTTTTTTTTTCCACATTAAATAGATGTAAAACATCTTTTCTCTACAGAAGAAGATAAATGCCTCATCTTTATGAACATTTTGTGTTTCCTTATTTTAAAAGCTAAAATTACTGATGGCTGTTAAATTTGGCAACAGATTTTCTATGACTTAGACACTTTTATTTCATTTAGTACAGCTTTTCAGACAGTAAATGAACATTTCCATTCCATAAAGTGCAGCAGCGCAGATATTTAGAAAAAATAAAAGATTGTGTTTTATTAAAAAGTCATGTAATATTTCGCAACTCTAAACACCTTTTACTTAGACTGAGAACATATAATAATAATAAAAAATAAATAAAACTTTACTGATGTAACAATGCAGTAATTAACTCTGCATTTAACCCATTCCCTTTGGGGAGCAGTTGGCTGCCACTTTGGGGCGCCAGGGGAACAATCAGGCAGTCTGTGGGAGAGGGTTTTGAACTCACAACCTCAGGATTCCAACCCCTATGCCCTAACCACTAGAAACCCACACCTCCACTCCACCATCAATGGCTGTTTTTGATATGAAAGGTTGCAGACCTTTCATATCCAAAATCGTATTAGGTTAAGATGGATTTTGCAGTATTGTTATATCTAACTGACCTTAAACAGCAAAAATGTTTGATTTAATGTCAGAAATTGAGAAAATGATAGCCTATATTAATTATTTTTTCAAATGTCTTTCTTCCACTGTAAATGAGTTTCTAGCCTAAAAGTTCAGAAAACACAACTTTTCATCCAATGATGTTTAAGAATATGAAATGAAGCAATGATATCTCTTAGCATGGGCTACAATGCCAATTCTAAGGCTTTAGGAGTCCAATATTACCACAGCATTACCACAACCATTGAGACATGGACCAGAGGAAAACCTAAAAAATTTTCTGCCTCGCAAAATAACTCTAAAAGGAAACACTAACGAAAACACAAAAACCCGGAGCAACACCTGAGGCACTACATGCCTCATTTGCCTCAGTTATAGCTTACGGTTTTATTCGATATTAGGAAAAGAGATTGGGTGAAAGTGCCACCCATATGAGAAAACCAAAAAGAACACAATGTGCCATCTGATATTTATCAAAAACAACTTGGTGAGCACTAAGATCTCTTGAAAAGTAAGGGGGTACATACTGACAGTCAAACATGGGGGTGGTAGTATGATGATCTGGGGCTGCATCAGGGCCCTGATGATTTGCTCCATCAGTTTGTGACTGTAACTTTAATCATACTTGGGATTAAAGCAGGACAATGATTCAGTGCATATCCACAAG